TTCAGACATGAGGTAGATATTTATATACTGTGGCAAGCACCGGGTTGGTAGGAAGTGACGACCGAGGCGCTCTATCTTTGGCAGCATCCTTTGATTTTAGCCGAGCCACGGGAAGCACCATGCACCCGGCAGAACAATACAATAATACAACAGGAGGGCAGGGCGTGAATCACAGGAGCAGTTACACTTAGGGTGGCAGGTAAAAATAGCTAGACGAGACGAATTAAATATAGTACAGGGTGAGCAACGCAACAAAAAGCTGTATAGCAGAACCATGTGACCAGTGTCGACCCACTTGGGCATGCTGGGAAATCAGATGGCGCTTTCACTGAGGTTTACACATCAGTGTAGGTCTGGGTGAGGGAGTGGGTCAGAGAGCTCAGCATGAGATACATGACTTGGGCTGGGATGAGAACAGACGGTTCACAGAGAGAGCTCTGATTTCTGTGTCCGAGATCAAAAAGAGGCACAAGCCTTCAGAAAACCCGTTAATTATTTTAGAGCCTGATGAGCTCTCCTTTCAAACTTAAAAAGAGGCTAATTTGAGATGCTGTGCATCATCTGGAGAGAAAAAAAACTGCAGAGAGGAGCAATAAACCATCGTCTCAGTTTGGTTTCATTTGTCCCTTGAGGACAGCCGGTCCCACAGTGTCTCCTTAGGACTGAAGGGCTCTGGCTCATCAGGGCTCTGGCTCATCAGGGCTCTGGCTCATCAGGTCTCTGGCGGTAGATTACAGCTGAGTGGAGCAGCAGCGTAACACGTCTACAGTTGCAGTGTTTGACATTTAAAATGAACAAACGGCAACAGTCTGGTTTTAAACAAACAATGTTGAATGAAGTTACTGAATTCATTTTTAAATTGTCATAAAATTTGGTTGGAGACGTTGGACTTGACTTCACCGAGTTTCTAAAATTACTAAGTAGCCTCTTCCTGAGCTTTCAGTCGCAGCTCACTGCTGTCCTCAGAGTTTCTGTGGAGGGAGCTGTGTGATGTGCGTTGACAGAAGTGCACCTGGTTAAATAACGGAAAATGAAACCTGAAATGGCGTCATCACAGGATCTCGACGAGCTCCACGCTCTGTCTGCTGCTGAGGCCGTGACATGTGGTGGGGAAACCAGAAAACACAACAGCAGTGTTATTCTCCAGGTCACAGCCGTGCACATACCTGATCCTTGATTCATCAGATCAGCTGATCACAGTCTGACTTCAGTTGTTTGAAGGTAAAAATACCAAACATTTCATCATCTTGGACTCTGCAGAACTGATATAAACTCCACTGTAAAAACAGGAAGGCATTCTTTGGTGTAAATGACTAGGGGTTTAAATGATCAGTGATTAAAGTGAAAACTGAAATTGTGCCAGTCGGGTTCAGCTCTTACTTCACTGAACTGATGATGTGACTTTTGACCTGCGGTTTGTTCTGAACTCAGAAGGTTCAGTTGTTTGCAGGCGCTGACCCCTCAGTGTGTCTCTTGCCATAAGTTGTGTTAAACAAAGCTGCGTTCACTGTAACATCAGTGCATTGTTCAGTTAACAAATGAAGTTGCGTAGAAACATTGTTAGCTTATTTTTGTAGACTTCCCAGCATGCATTTCATCAAGGTGGAAATACCCCAGAAATCTTCTTTGTCGTTGCACCATCACAGGATGGAAGCCAGCCACTTGGTTCGTGTGTGTCAGAGGCTCTTCTTCCTGATCCAAAGTAAGCCAGTGACGACCACAAGGGAGAAAACCTGGCCCTGTGCTTCCTGCCCTGTGCTGGTGGAAGGCCCTGAGGCTGGGGCCTTACTGAGGAGGGGGTAGTGTCATTGGGTTTGTTGCAGCTGCTATCAGCATATTTGTAAACTTTTGAATGGATTCAGCACAGAGTGACTTCAAAGTGGGCTTGATGAAGGGAATGAAAAGTCCTGGTTGCGATCATGTTGGTCCCAGTCAGAGCGGCTGTCCTCTGCAGCTCTGGTCGCTCTGGTCGCTCCCGTCTTAGCTTTCTGGAGCTCCCACTCGACCTTTTTAAAAATACCTGTCTATTTCTGCAGCACCATTTTTATCAGTGCTCGACATTCCTGTGCAGTTCAGTCATGCTGCAGTCTCTGTAGCCTCGGGTGCTGAAGTCTGATCAGAGCTGCGGCTGATTCAAATGGAAATGCTTTTAATGAGACGCTGTGTTTTCTGTCCCCTGGGCCATGTTTGCCTTGTTGGCTCCGTTGTGTTCATGCTTGGAGCTCAGCCTTTGTTGTGCAGCAGAAAACCACTTAATCAGGAGGAATGTGTGAGGTCACGGTGTCTCGGCACGTCAGGCGGGAACATTTCATTCAGTTGACATTTCAGCTTCACTGACACTTGTTTTTAAGATGCAGCTGTTTTCTCACACTGCAACAGGAAGTGAGCGTGTACTGTTTGTTTGAAGTCGATCATGTGTAATCAATTAGCTGATCACAGAAAATTAATCTGCAGCTATTTTTTAAAAGAAATGCCAGAATTCTCTGGTCCACCTTCTCTGATGTGAAGATTCGTCTCTGTCACAGTTTAATGAATCTCTGGGTTTTGGGTTGTGGTTCGAACAGAACAACGCGGTTGAAGTCGTCACCTTTGACCCTTTGGCGGGATGGTCTTTACAGTTTTCTGAGGTTTTCTAGTCTTCAGGTGATAAAGAGTCTTGACAAGCAGTAAACTGAGTTTCCTCCACGAGGCCTTAGAAGGTTTCACAGACCTGCTTCATCCTGTTGTAACATTTGAAGCTGAAGATACAGTGAAAGTTCAATTGGTCAGTTTGAGCAAAAACTCCAACTCTGTCTGAGGCCACACGAGGACAGATCATGAGGCGGTGGCCACCTGGGCTTCAATTCATCTCTGTATTGTATTTGTCTTTTTAATGTTTTTGTGTCTCTGTGTTGTGCGTCCTTGTTGTCGCCCGTGACGGGTCCAGATCACATTAGTCGGTTATCTATAACTATAGGAAGTACTGTTACACAGGCAAACGTGTGATGACACAGTTTGCTGGTCGTCGGTCTGCGTTTTATTATGAAGTCTCAAATGTAATGAGCTGAGCTGTGCCACCGCCGCTGGCTGTGGAGCGTCAGACTGTCTCCTGCCTTGCTGTGCAGGGACTGAGGCTTTGGGTTCAGTGGATGGGACTGTGTAAATGTTTGTCATCTGGACAGGAAGTGGGTGTGCGAGTGTTTGTTAAAGCTGAAGAGCTCCTTCACTTCCATGGCTGCATGTTTTCTGAATGTTTTGACATTTTGTACCAAAGTGGTTTTTAGCAGGACGATGCTCAGCTTCTAACTTCTAACTGAAGCTGTGTGTTACCTTCTATGCTGTTTTCATCCTCACCAGAGCCGGGACTGTTTCTGTACCTGGCTCAGAGTGTGGTGGGGGTTATAGAGCTCCCATGCACTGTGTGGTAACCCCTTAATCTCAGGAAACATGAAGTGTCTTCTGTGGAGCTCAGATGTGGAAGTGTTTCTGTGTGTTCGGGCTCTTTGATATGCAGCAGGAAGGCGACGTGTCCCGACTCGCCTCTGCAGCTCAGGCTGCACAGTGGAGGCCCCCAGAGACATGAAAGAGCC